GTGTATTTTACATCCTGCTTGCTGTGAACTTAGAGAAAAAGTGTTAGCACTGAGGCAGAGTTCATTCTCTTTCTGCCTCATTATTTTTTGCTAATATTTATTTAATCAACATATCAACATAACGTTAAAAATCACAAATATTGTCAAGAAATGTAAAGGTAGCTTCTAGTAGGACATAATTATATGGCTGAATTTCTATTTTATGAAAGGAAAAAAAGGAACCAAGAAAAATCAGTTTAATAAATGTAAAGAAAGGAAACAAGAAAGCGTAATAAACATAAATCCTTAAATAATCAGGAAAAGACATGATACTTGTATAAAAACATATGTGAATGAGTTGACTTTCTCTACTAAAAGACAAAAACTCTAAAATTGGTTTCAAATCTAGCATATACAAGCACAAACCAGAATGTTAAAAAGTAAGGGGGGGAGGGCGGGTAGAGACAAGATATATCAGGCCAGTGTAAATAAAAAGAAAGCAAGGAGAAAAGAAAAAAGAAGAAACTGCGAGGAGAACATATGAATATCAGATAAGGTAGAATGTATGTGGAAACAAAGCATAAGCCCCTTCTTTGGGAAAAAAGGTAGCAGAAATAGGATATTCTCCTTCCAAAAATTAATCCACTTTGTTTTTTCAATAAATTGCCTTGTTAGAATATATTGAGCAAAATTAAAAGCCCAGATTCAGACTCCTGTGGGCTGTATGCCAGTCTTCCCCACTTCCCTGGATCCTCGTGGGCTTCAGTGCAGAGCTTGTCTCTATTATGAAACATCCTGTGCCCCCCCTGAGCTACAGAAGGGCTCCTGAAGACTGATTTAGAGAAGTACAGAAGAGCACTTTCAAAGGCTAATGTGAAACTTAATGATACTGTTCACAAAACGTATTTGTTGTTAATCTCTATTGTCCATAAAACATATTTGTTGTTTATCCCTTCAGAGGTTTTTCCCTTTTGCCTTTCCACTTAGTATGGTCTTTTCTCTCCAGCGCTACATTAAAAGCACAGGGTAACTCGTGGTGTTTGAAATAAGCAGCTTCATGGGTTTGTCTCGTTTGTGCAAAAAGTTTTCTTAAACCTAAAGACATGGGTTTTTTGGTATTGTTATCCTTTGAAAAGGTTGAGGATCAAATGGAATAAATTGGGATATTTTAAATGATCAAAGTATAATTTATAAAGAAGGTATGACGGTGATGGACTTTGAGGCACCACAGCAACACAATGTCTTCAGATATAATTCTTAGCAATCTGATTTTTATTTTATTTTTTTAAGATTTACTTATTTGAGAGAGAGGGAGGGAGCACACGCACGATTGTGAGAGTTGGGGAGGGTGCAGATGCAGAGGGAGAGAATCTTAAGCAGACTCCCTTCTGAGCACGGAACCCAACATGGGGCTCAATCCCACAACCCTGAGATCATGACCTGAGCCAAAACCAAGAGTTGGATGCTTAACTGACTGAGCCACCCAGGCGCCCCAGCAATCCAGTTTTTTTTTTTTTTTTATAATCTCAGTTGTGTTTAAATCACAATCACAATAGCAACAAAAAATGAAACACCTCAGAATACACTTAATATGAATATGCAAGATCCTTGTGATCAAACTTAACAAAAGCCATTATGAAGGATCTGAATAAAATGAAGGGTAGTTTTTTTATTCATTAGGAAGAATAAACACTGTAAAAGATGGTAGTCTTCCTCATATTGATATAGATTTAATGGAATTCAAATCAGAATTGCATACTTTTTAACTTACTGTTGGAACTTGATAATAGTTAATAAAATTTAACTATAAGGATAAATGTAAAAGAAAGGTACAGTAGGGTGCCTGGGTGGCTCAGTCGGTTAAGCGACTGCCTTCGGCTCAGGTCATGATCCTGGAGTGCCAGGATTGAGTCCCGCATCAGGCTCCCTGCTGAGCATTTCCAACCTATGGAGAAGCAGATTATTCAGGAGATTACATCGGTTGGAATGCCATGTCCTCTGGGGTGCCACTCTGGCTCTGCCCAGCTAAAAGAGATGTCACACTCCACCAGGCCACCCTGCTGTGTGGCCTTCACAGCAGCTAACAATGTCCTCAGTAATTATTTCTTCTCTGCTGCCTCCCGTTTCTGTAAGACAGGATCTAGGAGAAAGGAACCTAGCCTGTCTCACTGCCATCTTCCCAGCGTCTAGAATACTGCCTAACACGTGGTAGGCAGGTGCTCAGTCCCTGCTTAGTGAACGGATGGATGATGAAATGCTACACCACATTGTTAAATGAAGTTAGATTCCGACCTCACTTATAAATGATAAATTCTAGATAGTTCAAGGATGTCAATTTAAAATATAAAACTAATAGAAAACGTAGAAAAATATTTATATAATCTTAGGGTACAGAAAGCCTTTCATAGCATGATTCCAAGGCCAAACAAAGGAAAAGGAAAGTTAACTGCATAAAACTTCAAAACTTACACGTAGCAGAAGAGGTTATAAACAGATTTAAGAGAAATGACAGAGAATAAATAATATTGGCGATTTATGGCAAAGGATTAATGTCTACACTGCATAAAAGGCTTCTTTTATATACAAACCACCCAGTATAAAACTGGGCAAGGATGTAAACAGATATTTAAAAGGCCGGAAGAATGTATGTCCATGCTTATTTCTGAGGGTTTAAGACCTGCAAATATATATTATAGTCTTAAAAAAATTTTTTTATGATGACACAGCTAGTATGTATATTCAGAAGAAGAAGATATAATTTAAAGGCAAACACAAGTCCTACTTGGGCGATTCATAGTCCCATGACCAGCCTAAAAAGGAAAGATGGAAAAAGGGGAACAGCTCTAATGCTTCACTGATACATCCCAGGTCCAGGTGTCAAGGTCATCCAAAACAGAGACTGAGGAACTGTTCCAGGTTAAGGGAGGCTAAGGAGACGTGACAGCTGAATGCCAGCTGTGATCCGGATTGGGTCCTGCACCAGATAAAGGACCCAGTTTGTGGCGAAATATGTGTAAGGTTTGTAGGTTAACTAACAGTACTGTGTCCACGTAAGTGTCCTCATTTGGTAATTGTATTCTGGTGATGTAAAACGAGAGCTTGTTTTTAGGAAACACATACTGAAGTATTTAGAAATCAAACCAGTGATTGCCTGGGGTGGGGGTTGTGGACTGGAAGGGGGTGACGACACTTTCTGGGGTAAGGAAAATGCTCTATAGCTTGATTGGGGTGGCGATTATGTTAGTGCATAAATTTGTCAAAACTCAATGAATTATATGCTTAAAATGGGTTATCTTATGTAAAATTACACCTGGGAAAAAAGCTGATTTAAAAAATTAATACTACTTTAACTAAATAAAATAAAATCAAGGCTCCTGATAGCCAAACCACAACCTTCATCAACCAAAATCTTCTGAATGCTCCCCCTTTAAACCTTCTTTTCTGGAAACTCCCTCTTTCTTCTGCCTATTTTTGTGAGTTATGTTGCCTTTTATAACTGAGCTGATAATACTAAGGAGAGAAAGTAGTACAAACAGAAATCACAACAGTACTTGTCTTCATGTAGCCTTCTTTAAACTGGTTCTGTTGATAAATAAACCAGTGACATAGCTGAGAGAACCCTAATACATGATCTTATGAATAGAGAAAACACCACGAGTCCCGTGGGATAGCAGACAAAGTTAAATAAGCCTAACCTTAAAAAACAAAACAAAGCAAAACAAAACTCAGGGTCTCCTGGGGCCAAGTCCCCCTGATACCTTCTTTTTCCAGAGGAGCAACAACTCCAGGTTCTAGTAAAAACTAGCAAATTTCATTTTCTTTTCTTTTTTTAAAAAAGATTTTATTCATTCATTCATTCATTTATTTGACAGAAGGAGAGGGAGAAGTAGACTCCCCACTGAGCAAGAAGCCCAATACCGGGCTCGATCCCAGGACCCTGGGATCATGACCTGAGCCCAAGGCAGACGCTTAACCAACTGAGCCACCCAGGCGCCCCTAGCAGGTTCCGTTTTCAAGCCATCTCTCAGGGCAAAAAACCCCTGGGCTCCTCACTACTTTTACACTGCATGAATTTCTTTAGCTGATGGACACTGCTTCTTTCTTGGAACATGCCTTATCAAAATTCCTCCTCATCCTCCACCCCCATGCCTACCACCCAACCAGAAGCACAAACTCCTCCTTCCTGGAACTTGACCCCAAACTTTACATCTGATTCCCTCTCATCACCAGTCACTGCTACATTTGCTCCACCTCTAAAACTAAAATACCAAGCTAGAATAATGTTAAGAATGCCTTACTGAGTACCTCTAACATTCTAGTAACCATGCTGGGCACTTTTTACATATGTTATTTCACTTGAACTTTCAACAAACCTATAAAGTATGTATTATTAAACGAAATAAGCCATGTGAAATGCTTACTAATGTCATATAGGTGGCAAACACTCAGTTAATGCTCTTATTTCTATCATCACCATGAGGAACTTCAGGGAAGTCAGGTTACTTACCCAAGACAATGCAGCTATAAATGGTAGAGTCGGGATTTAAACTCGGGACACTTTAACTCCATTATAGCAAATCTTCTCCAGTTATCCCTATCTAACCCTACTTCTCCTGGTTGCCACAAGTTTTGGAACACTGACAATCTGAGTACCTGGCCATACTTGTTCTTATTATCATGTTCACATATAATCATCATGACTGTATCTTGTAGAGATATAACCTCTCTTATGTTCCCCGAGGGTCCATAAACCCTATAAGCACCCAGATCATCTTTCATATGATTTTTATTCCTTTGATGATGCTTGAATGGCACCAAAAGTTCAGGAAGCCAGGGCTCCCAGCTGAATAAGGAAGTAGGCTGCTGAGGACAGAACTGAGGGACAGTAAGGGGGGCTGCATGGGAAATATCCAACATTCCGAGATCTCAGTAGCCCCATCCTCTGCAGTGAAGCCCACATACGGTACAGGAATAAGTGCTAAGGAGTAAGGGAGAGTGTTCAGTGAGAAATACGAGCTCACCGGAGCTGCCAGTGGCAGAGGCCCAATAGCCATTGCCTTCCCTTTCCTTCCTGCACAGTCCTTCCTAGGGGATGGGCAGGATCCAAAGGAGGCAGAGCTGATGGAAGGAAAAGAAGCCATGAGAAATGAGACTCCTGCAACAACAACAAATAAAATACCCACAGATCAACCAAGTAAGAAATGCATGGTACCTACCTAAGGAAAACTGTATTTTTTATTCATGAAGTTTATTTTGCTGGGCTTATTTAGATATACAAAGGATGAACAGAGAGACATACCATATTCCTGGATAGGCTGTCACAATATCTAAGTTGTCACTTCTTTGAAATTTATAAACTTAGCACATTCCTAACCAAGTTATACCTAAGTAATAGTATTTTAAAGATAATGATGGAAAAGATCTTATTTTAAGTTAATTGTGTCATTTAACGATAGCCAGGAAACATTTGAAAGGGAAGAGTGGTGAGGGAGAACCTGCCCACCAGATATCATAAAGCTACAATAATTAGAACATAGTGTGATGGAACAGGCTGAGTCATTGATTCACCAGATATAATGCTGACCACCTGCTGTGTACCTGGCACCATTCCTAGGGGAGAGGGTAAATACAGCCATAAACAAAACAGATAAACAAATTCTCCATGCCCTCGTGGATTATAGTCTAGCAGAGAAAAGGATCAGTAGAGCAAATTAAAATCCTACCAACACAAACAATTCAGAAAACATTTTGTATGTAAGAATTCAGGATATGAAAAAGTGACATTTCACATCAGTGAAAAAAGAATGAATTAGTAACTTGGAACAAGGACTTACCATTTGGAAAAGAATAAAAATTTGCACATTAAATCAATTAAAGTATTAGAAGAAACTGCAGATGAACGTTTTTTGTGGTAATGGGATGGAAGTCCCTCTAACAGTGATGTCAAACACCCAAACGTGAAGGGATGGTTTTCATGTCTAACCATGTAAAAATGTAACATTTCTGCCTAGTAAGAAAACACTGTATCAGATACAGAATTTAAAAACAAAACTCAAAATTGCACAAAATATTCATAAGTGTTCAAAACATACATTTAAACAACCGTATTGCTCCACCTCACAGGAAGTTGGAGAATAGGAACACCCAGACTTGGTGTGGGTCCATTAGGCACCCTTATATTGCAAATGTTTATAAACGACTACTTTTCTGGAGTAAGATGGAAGGGTATCAAGTCTTACAGTATGACCCAGAAATTTCATCTGAAGAGACTTAAAGAATGAGACAGGAATGCAAAGATGTGTGTAGCCAAATGGTCTATATGGTTTATAACATGAGGGGAAAAAAAACAAACCTGAGAAGGAATGTAAAGGCCTAAAGGGAGGATTGAATATGGCACAGACATACTTTTTCTCACGCTCTTTAAAATGACAATTGTTTTTCAAATATTAATTTTTTAAAAAGTTTATTCTCTACCTGGTTCGAGTGGTACTTACACCAGATAAAAGCATTTGTAAAAAATCATGGAGCTTAATATTTGTGCACTTTAAGCCCTTTCCAAATGTATTTCAAAGCTCAGTTTTAAACGTAAATGGAGAAAAGGACACTAATGTCCACATCTTTGTGTAAAAACAAAGCCTTTCTCTGTTTATACGCCGACGTGCAGATTTTGACAGTTTTCAGATAATTTTTTTTTAATGCTCCTCTGAAATTTCTCGTTTTCCTATAGTGAACTTATTCTTTTTGGGGGGCTGGGGGAAGCGGAGAAAAAATTGCTTAAAAAAAAAAAAAAAGAGTCCTGAAATAGAAACCTGCACGGGGTCGAACTCCCCATTCTTAGATGGATCAAGGGGAGTCCACGCCAGCGCCGCTCGGAATCGGAGATCACAGAGGGCGCGTCCGCCACACGAGGCGGACACAAAGGGCAGGTGCTGGAGCCCCGAGACCGCGCACCAGGTGCAGCATCCCCCGAGACTTCCGAAGCGGGGCCCGGGGAAAGCCCGCGGCGGGGAGGAACCCAGGATCTGAGCGACTCCCAGAGCCCTCGGGCCCGGGGCCGCCGCACCACGTCCCCCGCCCTCGCCGCTCCCGACAGGTGGCGGCCCTCAGCTCTCGGTGTTCCCACCCGGCCGGGCTCCCGGGGCGAGAGAGGGCGCACCTGGAGCGAGCGGCCCGGCGCCGCGCGGGGACCGAGAGGCCGCGGCCCCCAGCCCATCCACCGCTGGCCCCGCCCCTCAGGGGCCTCGCCCGGCCGTCCGGGCCTCCGCCTGCCTGGGCCTTCGCCTGGCGCCAACCCGATGCGGTGCGTCTTACCGCGGCCCAGCACTCACCCTCTCCCAGCTGGAGCGGGAGCAACCAGTGCGGACGCAGCCCTGCCCGGCGCCTACGCCCTGGGCGCCAGACTACATTTCCCACAAGGCTGCAGGGGCGCGGCGCGGCGCGGCAGTCGGAGTGCGCAGGCGCGAGCCCGCGGGCGGGCGGGGCGATCCCAACCGTAGAACCGTGGGGGCTTCCGGCATGGCTGCGCCTCGTTAATCGGGTGTTGTCTTGGGAAGCTGCGAGGGGACCGGGTGACGACCTTGCCCCGGCTACCCCAAAGAAGCTCCTCCTCGTTAGAGCCTGTCGGTGCTTAACCCACGTGGAGGGGAGAAGGGGCAGAGCGCCTTAAGTAAGCCTCACTTTTCTCTTGTGAGATGAGTCCCCTGCCAAGTTGTGCCGTGTACGTGGTGGGCCCTCCGTGAACGGAGATTACTGTACCCCCACGGCTAGCTCGGTGTCGGGCGCTGCGCTAGGTGCTCAGTATCGCACGGTGTGGAATGCGGCGAAAATGTCTAGTTAAACGTATGGCCAGAGTTGGTTCAGCTTTATCTGTCGCCGGAACTTGGAGAAATACGTGACATTCGGGACTTATCAGTATGGTAGCGTAGATTGTGATACTTGTTTTTATCAAGATAAATGCTGATTTTCTCTGCCTCTTTCTATAGTTGTGACAGAGAGTTGACCACAAACTTCAGTTTCCTCCGAGTCCTCTCTCTCCTAGGCCACACTGGGCCCAATCCTAGCCTGCGGTGCCCTAGTTTTAGCAAGAGTCCTGCTAAGTCAGTTTAGGTAGAAACCCCATTCTTGGCGTCCGATCAATTTCCTTATCCCCTACTCTTGATGTCTACGTCCTTGGCCTGCCTTTAACAAGAATCCTATTGAGACAGGTTTGCAAGAATCCCCCAACTTGCTGTCTCCTTTTGGTAATTTTGCATCCACTGATCCCCTTACCGTGTTACTGTAAATCCCCAGCTGTCTTTGCTGTATTGGGAGTTGAGTTCAGTTTTACTGAAGCCTCTCTCCCCTATTGCAGTAGTACTGAATAAAATATTTCTTTACTACTTTTAACTAGTGCCTTAATTCATTTAACTAACTTTATTTCCTCTTGAGAGTTGTGTGAACTATTGCAAAATATTGCAAAATATGAAAGTTTTCACAATTCATTTAATCAAGCTAAAGTAACCCAGATAGCACCAAACTAAGTAAAAATGTCTCTACAGTAAGACAAATACCTTGAACCAGTTTCTCCACCATTACAGGTCATTCTTACATTAGAAACTACATGAACATATTCATCATAGTTGCTCTGATAGAGAAATGGTCCTTGATAAAACTCACAACATAGAGTGTGCAGTTTTCAAACAAGTAGCAGAGGGAATGGGGTAGGGGAGAGGGAGGACAAAAAAATAAAAAGTAAAGTAAAATAAAATAGAATAGAATAAAATAAAATAAAATAAACCACATATGCAAAAAACCCAGAAACAAAAATTTGGACAAATTAAAGGTACATAAGGAGATGGTAGCAATAAATCCAGGTCTATCAGTAATCACTAGATATGCACATGGACTGAACTTTCCAATTAACAGTAAAATACTGTAAGACTAGATTTTTAGAAACACAGCTATATGCTAAAACAAGGATACACACATCTTAAAAGTAGAATGTTGGGAAAAGATACATCTGGTAAATATTAACCAAAGAAAATTCATGTGGCTACATTTAGTTAAATAAAAAATAACACATTAAGAAAAAAATATTACTAGAAATAGGAAAGGTAATTACATATCAATAAAAAGTTAATTCACCAAGAAAAAATATTAATGAAATCTTACATATTTAACAATGTAGCTTCAAAATATATAAAGCAAAAATTGACAGGAGAGTGGGGCACCTGGGTGGCTCAGTTGGTTGAGCGACTGCCTTCGGCTCAGGTCATGATCCTGGAGTCCCGGGATCGAGTCCCGCATCGGGCTCCCCCTGCTCGGCGGGGAGTCTGCTTCTCCCTCTGACCCTCCTCCCTCTCATGTTCTCTGTCTCTCATTCTCTCTGTCTCAAATAAATAAATAAAATCTTTAAAAAAAAAAAAATTGACAGGAGAATTGACAAATCCATTACAGAGGTATTTTTAACCTGTCTTTATCAGTAACTGGTAGAAAAGTTGACCCCTCCCCCCAAAATGTCACTAAGGATACGGAATTTCTGAAGAGCAAAATAAACAACTTTGATTTAATGAATAGACATATAGAATACTGCATTCAAAAATTAATGAAAACACATTTTTATTACACTTTAAAAAAAAAAATGACCTCATGCTAGGCTATGAAGTAGTCTTAAACATTTCAAAGAATTGGTATCATAAAAGCCATATAATTTCACAATGCCAATTAGATATTTTTTTAAAGATTTATTTATTTATTTTAGAGAGCACACAAGCAGGAGAAGGGGCAGAAGGAGAGGGAGAGGGAGAGAATCTCAAGTAGGCTCCAACTCCCTGTTGAGCATGCAGAGCCTGATGCAGGGCTCTATCCCATGACCCTGAGACCATGACCTGAGCAGAAATCGAGAGTTGGCAGCTTAGCTCTCTGAGCCACCCAGGCGCACCCCAATTAGACATTTTTAAAACGACTAGAAACTTCTTTAAAAATTTAGGTAAAGGGACTATTTAGAGATTGGGCCAGTCATGCTAACAGATTCTTTTACCAAACTCCCACTGGACTCCTCTGATATTTTTTCAACTTCCCCTCGTTGCAGCAAGTACCTCCTTGGTAGTTGGACCCGAGGCTGCCTTTCTCTCCTCAAATTATCATCCCTGTTTCCTTAACTCAGGGGGACCCCCACTCTCTGCCTGGATCCCCTCCTCACTGCATCCTGGAAGCTCTGCAGGCTCTGAGCTGGGGCAGCCTTGGAGCTCCTGTCATTTGGTTCCTGCCTCCAGACACTGTCCTGTTCTCCTATTGTTACATTTCATATAGTTCATCTGGCTCTTTACTCATTTGGTGCTGGAAGTCTGGATCTTATGCTTTCATCACAGGCAGAAGGGGAAGCTTGGGACTCTTTATTACTTTAAAATGACATGATTCTAGGGGCGCCTGGGTGGCTCAGTTGGTTAAGTGTCTGCCTTCCGCTTGGGTCATGATCTCCGGGTCCTGGGATCGAGTCCCACAACGGGCTTCCCCCTCAGCAGGGAGTCTGCTTCTCCCTGTGACCCTCCTCCCTCTCATGCTCTCTGTCTCTCTTTCTCTCAAATAAATAAATAAAATCTTTAAAAAAAAAAAATGACATGATTCTAGCTTACTTCCTAGAACATTAGATTATTATTTTCAATACTGTGACTTCCCATATTTTAACAGGTTCGCAGGTCAGACATTAATAGATTGCCTCATGTTAAAATAACTTTTATTATTAAATTAAAAAATTTAAAAAATTAATTAAAAAAAGGTGACTCCACTGAGATATTAAAAATCTTTTTCTTTTTCTCAACTCGAGTATAGCTGACACAATGTTACATTAGTCTCAGTGTATAACATGGTGATTTGACAAGTTTTTACCCTTGTTCACCACACATGCTCACCACAAGGGTCGCTCCTTCTGTCACCATTTAATGCTATTACCTTATCATTGAGTATATTCCTTATGCTGTGCCATTTATTTATTCCAGTGACTTTTCATTCCATAACTGGAAGACAGTATCTTCCACTCCCCTTTACCCATTTTGCCCATCTCTCCACTCCTCTCCATCAGTTTGTTCTCTATATTTATATTTTTTGGTCTGATTCTGCTTGTTTGCTTATTCATGTGTTTTTTTTTTTTTAGATTCCACACACAAGTGAAATCATATGGTATTTGTCTTTCTCAATCTGACTGAAGGAACCTTTGTGCACTGTTGGTGGGAATATAAATGGGTGCAGCGACTGTGGAATACAGTATGGAAATTCCTCAAAAATTAAAAACAGAAATACCATATGATCCAATATTCCCACTACTGGGTATTTACCCAAAGAAAACAAAACCACTAACTTGAAAAGATATGTGCACCCCTATGTTTACTGCAGCATTATTTATAAGAGCCAAGATATGGAAACAGCCCAAGTGTCCATCACTGATAGATGAATGGATAAGGAAGAGGTGGTCTATAAACACAATAGATTATTACTCATCCATAAAGAAGGATGAGATCATGCCATTTGTGACAGCATGGATGGACCTAGGGCATTATGTTAACTGAAATATTAGAAATCTTAAGGCAGCAAAGGAAGAAAAAGAAACTCTGGGACAAGAGCAGCCTTCTGGTCACAACAATCTAACAGCCACTTTTCTTTTTCTCCATATTTCCCACCCTAGCCTCAGGACCTTCACCAGCCCTAAGTTCCTATCCTGGCCCACAGGGCAACTCCGTGGATGATAGGCGTGACTCTGGGTACCTGGAGCCCTGTCTTTGCCCACAGAATCCTGGTGAGTGGAAGGTAAATGAGGCCCCTTGCAAGGACAGGTACCACATTCCCTAAAACAAAGGAAGAGCCCCCTTCCAGGCCAGGAATTCCTTAGTTAAAATCCTTTTGTTCAGTCAGTTTTCAGATTTTTTTCATTCATGAACTTGAATAATATCCAGACACACAGATGCTTCCTGACAGGTTTGTGAGTATGGGGATTGGACATTACTTGGCCCAGTGATGCTGGTTCCTGACCTTCCCATTTAAGGATTTCTCATCTCCCACCAGCAGATATAAAGGCATATATGGGCCTTATCAGCCATATTATCTACCATATAGAAGGAGAGTCTCTGAAAACCACTCACATATCAGGAGTGAGTCATGCCAAAGAGCATCCACATTTCTCTGTTCCTTCCAGGCCAGTCCTTGGAGAGATCAGGAAATCCAGAGTTTCCTACAAGAATGGGGAATACTTGGAAATGAGTTTCATCTTGAGTCAAGGAAGAAGAATCACATCCTTTTTTTTTTTTTTTTAAGATTTTATTTATTTATTTGACAGAGACACAGCGAGAGAGGAAACACAAGCAGGGGGAATGGGAGAGGGAGAAGCAGGCTTCCCGCTGAACAGG